ACAGAAGAAACTATCGAAAATATTCAAGATTACTTAATGAAAACCGACACTCAACCTACAACTCCTGCTCCTTCCACACTCCAAGTAATTGCTGATATCCATCCTCCTCCTAACGATATCCCCCCTACACCCTACCCTCCTACCCCCTCCCAACACAGCCCATCCCCCCTGACCCCAACCCTGCCCACATTAACTCTCCCACCATCCCCTCTATCCCTTCCACTCCCTCCTGGATACACACGTGAATCCCTTATGTCACAAGTATCCCCTTCCTCAGACCCTCCATCTCCTAATACCCCTCCTGATAGAACACCAACTCCCACACCTCTCCCATCTCAAACCTCTCAGTCCTTATCCCACCCTCTAGCTGCTTCCCCTTCAAATTCTCCAACACGTACTACAATCTATATCACTAAATCAACGAAAGTATAACTATCCTTCATTGGAATATTCGCGGTTTCCGCTCCCACAGACCTGACCATCATATCCTTTCCTCTTATAACCCATCTATTGTATGCCTCAAGAAACCTTTCTTATGCATACCCTTTATCTAATATAACACCCGACCTTAACCCTTTCACTCACTAATTCCTTTGCCCAGCTTAGACAACTAATCACTAACTCAACCACCCTTCACTAACATTAACTATAGTGCTACATGACCTTAGATGTCTAGCACATTTATCTTGCTTTTAACCATTAACCATTAACCATTAAGAAAACCGTCGTTTCTCAGACCTCCTCACCCAACTCCCCTCTAAAAACTCTTGAAAACATCTAAAACTTCCTAAACCTGGCGCAAGGGAACGCTCCGCTTCCATATCCACCCTCCAATCTGTCTATTCCTATTCCCTCTACATTCAAAGTAATTGCCGATATCCATTCTCCTCCTCAAGTTCCCACTATCCTACTTTCTCCCATCCTCCCCTTCTCCATGGGTAACATTCCCTCTTCTTTCCCTATTACCCACCTGGATGTTCACAACCAAGGAACATATAAGCAGTTAACTCCACTTCCATTTGCCCTGTTTGACCCCAAAATTAAATGGACTTCTGAGAGCTTTTAATATTAGGGAACTCTTCGTTAACATATTGTTTTTATTACTTCTGATAATTATAACAATATCGAGTAAATTATACAAATAATTATGTATCTAGCTATATCTGATATCTGTCAGTGCACTCTCGTTGGCTAAACGTGATGATGTCATTAGCTCCACCTTTATTTGACCTGGTCAATCTGCGATATTTTATGGTGTTTATCAGTGCATTTTCTTTGAAAATAGTTGTAATAGCAATGGTAAAAAGGTGAAAGAAAACGATTCCAAGAAAATAGGAAATAAAAGAAATATTTAATGTTTACAATAAATGAAGTCAAAGTGGTGGGGCTTAACTCGGAAATTGCCAACTAGGATTTGAATCAAGACGGAGTGGGGTTTCTTGGTTCAAACTACCTTGGTCGCAACAGTATCCTTCTCCCTTCTGATATTCTTCCTGATACTTCACCACCTTCCCCTGTTCTGTATCTCATTCCCCGGATTCTTGCCCTCTTATTTCTCCAATACCCATTTTTACCCTTCTTACCCGTTGATTGTTTCATAATGGCTCTATTGCAGTTTTCTTCAGACACATAGACACTCTCCATTTGATCTAATCATTCTATGCCCTTAACCCCTTCCCCTTTTACTAATCCCTGCCTACGCCATTTGCTCTCCCCACTTTACCCTTTTCTTTGCCATACTGCCCTACAGCGCTCTACAGACTTTGACATTTAAAACAATTTATCCCAATTGTTTACTCACTTTTACCCTTTTCTCCACAATACGTTACCATAGTGCTATATGACCTTTGACGTTTAGCTCATGTATTTGTTTCATGAACCATTAATCACCAGGGACTCAATTACGTGACTTAATGCATTTCACTCGTATCTTGAATTTTTGGAAGAAACTTATTAGTTTTTGTTACTATTAGTGATAGTATTGCAATGATGATATGGGTAAAAGTAATAATGTTAACCCACTGCCGACGGGGATGGCACATAAAAACATACCATACCCACTGTGAATTTAGCTTATTAATTGTGTTTACACACAGATGGCTCTACAAGTCATATAAATGGATGTATAAGTGCTGAGTCAGCAAGGCGTTAATTAGTAGCCTTAACTTTTTCACCAGTTTACCCCTTTCCTTGTTTTTTATATCTATTATTTATTCATATTCCTATCCCCCCTCCCCCTCCCATGCCTGTTTTGGTTGTGGGAGGGGGGGGGGCATAGGAGACGAAGACTGAGGGCCAATGTAGGGATTCTCTCATACCTTAGTATTCACCCCCTGTACAACCATCTCGCCCGGGTCTTTTCTTCTCCCCTTTCCTTTTCCTGTCCACTTCCTAAGCCGTGAGAGCCGTGAAAGGCTAGTATTATGCTAGTCACTCCCCTCCTCTACACTTGCTGTCAACTTAACCCATCTCGGATCATCCATCCAGATATAATTCAAATCTTTAGAAGATTTCCCTTCCTCTGGTTTTATCCCAGCGTCCATCACTCCAACCCCACCCCCTACACAATATTTATTTTGTCCCATCCTTCTTACTACTCTTCATTCTTTTTTTTTCTCCTCCCCACAGTACTACCTTACTCCACACCCCTTCCTCGTCCTCTCGTCCTTGTCCCTTTACTATTTCCACCTGTATAAAACTTCTAAGTACTGTTTTTATCCCAGCCAAATTGGATCGATGTTTGTGGTGTCCACCACAGCTACCATACTCTGATAATACCCTTCTTTTCCAGGAATGTCTTCAAAAACAAGTGGGCAAAGTTTTAGTCGCGCCTTGTAACAGTTACATCTGAGTCCCAAGTTCTGGTACCCTTCCTCAAGATTACCGTCACATCGCCCTTCTAGTTGCCTATGCAAATTATAAGAAAGGTTGATTAACCATGTGGTACCTCGAATCTCACAACCTTCTCTCCTTCTCTATTATTTTTGTTTGCAGGATTGTTTCTCTCATTTGAAAGGAAATTTGGTAGAAGAACCAGCGAAGAGAAGGACCACTCTGACTGCCAGAGAGAACAAGAATCCCTATAAGGTGATGGCGTGATATGTGGTCTCTGGGCACTGGAAAATTTGATGTTGTAGGAGGTAATATAAATCAAGTTGGATATCGTGACATCATTGATAGACGTCTTCTGTCCTAGCTTCGAGAGTGGTTCTCAGTTAATGACTGCATTCTCATGGCCAAGAATACTAAAATCCATTTGATAATCATGATTGGCCAAGAAACAGTCTAAATTTAATTCCTGAGAATGTGTATGGAAAGACATGAAAGGCGAGATAGGCCAAATAAAGCGTACTAACAAATCTGAGTTGACTGGACGATTGATTTAAAGATATACAAAATCAGGGAAAAGGCCCGCCGGTAAATTCGAGGCATGCCAAGATATGTTGCTGCAGTGTTTAAGGTTACTAATATCATATCTTCACTACATATATACATGCGCGCGCATGTGCGTTTGTGTGTGTTTGTGTATATACACTGATTTATGTTGAATCTTTATAGAATGATAAAAATCGAACTGATCTAGGGGATTTAAGATAAGGAGATTAGATTCTTTTAATGCCGTGTCACAGTCCAACAACACACACAAACACACACACACACACGATATATATATATATATATATATATATATATATATATATATATATATATATATATATATATACATATACATATACATATACATATACATATACATACACGCATACAGACATACATATATACATATATATGTATGTGTGTGTATATACATACATATATGTGTATATATATGTATGTATATATATATATAGATATAGATATAGATATAGATATAGATATAGATATAGATATAGATATAGATATAGATATATAGATAGATAGATAGATAGATAGATAGATATACATACATACATATATATGTATATATATATATATATATATATATATATATATATATATATATATATATATATATATATGTATGTATGTATGTATACAAACACACACACACATAACAATCTCGCTTGTACTATCAATTTTAACGTAGAATTGGAAGATTCAGGGAAATTACCTTTTCTTGACTTTCTTTTACTCAGTGTAAATGGCGCTCTTAAATTTTCTGTTCACCAACTCACACCGCTAATTTCCTTTTTTTTCTCGAATCACCTTCTGTATTTCAAGAAGTCTTGTCAGTGGTCCTTAGGAAATATAGGATTTGTGATGGTGAATTCACACGGCTAGTGACATTGCTTGTACGTATCCGAACACGTTGCGCAATGCATTGGTGAAACGCGGTGCGGCCAGCGGTGCTTCTGGTTGAACTTTAAAAAAGAATTAATGGCCATAAACGTGATGTTAGGTACAACAAAGAATCAGATGCGTGTTTCATTCATTTGCGTGATGAAGGTCACCAGTTTTAGTGGAAAGATTTTGGAAAAATGCTAAATTAATTCATGAATCAGCTAATTCTTATGAGAGGAAAATGCTAGGAAACTGTGGTCAGTGTGTGTATATATCTACACACTGTGTGTGTGTGTGTGTGTGTGTGTGTGTGTGTGTGTGTGTGTGTGTGTGTGTGTGTGTGTGTGTGTGTGTGTGTGTGTGTGTACACACACACACCACACACACACACACACAAAATGAAGTTTTGTTTGCATTTAATGGAGAAAAGCTGCCATACCCCCCCCTCTCTCTTTCTCTCTCTCCCCCCCCCTCTCTCTCTCTCTCTCTCTCTCTCTCTCTCCTTCGCCCTTTCCCTCTCCCTACTATTTTCTAGGGATCAGTATTACAGTGACCAAAAATTTAACCATTACGTTCATAGCTGTCTGATTTCGGTCACTGTATATATACATATGAATTATTTTTTATATATAGTTTATTGCTGTAAAAACATAAATACAGTACATTACCAACACCACTCTGCTGTTGTACCGGACGAGTGGTACATTAAATACAATAAATAGCTAAACTAATGATTGATATTTACTTTACATTAGAAAAAAATGCGATTTACAAAGAAAATTCTGAAGATTTTACGTGAAAGTCTCGAACACTTCGATGCTGTGTCCGAGCGCATCGAGGGTGTCCCTGAGGATGGCGAAGTCCCTCGAGTGCCTGTCCGGGCCGATATCGATGTACATTTTCTTCATGATTCTCTCTGTCTCTTGATTGTCGGGACTTTTGTTGCGGCAGATGATGCCTTGTCTCAGATGGTTCATGAGAAGGTCCAGGTAGTCAGAGACATCACTTACATCTTCATTGTAGTCTGTGGTCTGGATTATATTAAGCACTCGGTCGAGCGTGAGGTGGTGGAGGGCCGTGCTGTAGTTCTGCATCATGGAGTACATGCGCACAAGCTCGTCTGGGAAGTCCTGAACGGAGTACGTGCCCGGAGAAGGTGGTGGAGGAGGTAGACATTCATCTTCGACATGGCCAGGGGGTAGGTATTGGTTGGCTGTATTCCAGTCCATGCTTAGGATACTTTGTACCTGAAATGATGTGAATATTGATAGGCCATTCTCTTTGCAGTCTATATTTCGCCATTCACTCTTACAGTGTGCTGTCTCAGATGAATAAATTAAAGCGTTACTTACGAAGTCATCTTTGAAACTCTCTATACGGTATGAGGCTCTTGTAGCAATATCTACAATATTCCTGGCCGTTTGTCTTTTTCCGTATTGACAGCTGCGTTGTACGCCAAGACCTCTCCTGTGTCGCTGTCGTGACGAGGACCAGCACCAGAAGTGTTCGTGCCTTCCACGAGTCTGATAAAATGCATACGAGCCTAATGATTAATGATGCTTTCCATGGGAAGTCACACTTTATCTGTTAACATTATATTTTACAGTCTGATCCCTCAAGAATTTCACTTTGTAATGTTATTACACTCCATTTCAGGGTCATCCTTTCCCAAAAGCTAGGCGGAAACAAACGCCTGCTAAGTATAAGAAATGCATAACTAGCTTACCTGAGGACAACAACGTGAAATATCTCTTCTACATAATCTCACATAATCTCATATGTTTACAAACGCATCATCAGGCAGCAGAGCCAAAGAACATGCTATGACCAGAGCTACAAAATTCACGTGTAATAAAAATGTCCCTTAAATGCTAATTACACAAATCTGCAGAGTATGATTTTACTCACACATCCTGTATCCGTTTTGTTATCAGTAAAATCGACTGTTATTAGATATGAACTTGGTGGACGAGGAGCCGCTGGGTGCCTGAGGAAGGTGCCTAACACCTGCACTATCTCCGGCTTATATACCACGATACATCGTGATATCACTAGGGAATGTGACGTCAGCATTCTTACAGTTTGTTTAGAAATGTTAGGGCAGGTTTATGGCAGAACTTCCCCGAGGACAGTGCATGTATTGATCTTGAGTTAATCCCTTAATACAGAGATGAGTAAAATATAATCATCTGTCAAAGGACGGAAGTGAAGTAACTTTTATGGACACACACACACACACACACACACACACACACACACACACACACACACACACACACACACACACACATACACACACACACACACACACACACACACACACATACACATAATCAATTCCCCGCGATTAGGAAAAAAACTTTGAAAGCCACACCACAAACATTTCTAGACATGAATTTTCAACCATAGTAAAACTGTGGGAAAAGAAAAACCAGTAGCAGCTCTCTGTTTATGTTTTAATTCACAGCAATCTACAAGAAGTGTCTCGAAAAACGTTTCAGGAGCGTTCGGCGTCGCCGCCGAAGAGGCCAATAAGGTCTCGTCACCGAGCTCCTTTCATAGGGATAGCCGGGCGAGGCTCGGCTTCGCATATCTGGCTTATCCTCATCCTTACAGAAACTATTCACATTCGTCCGTCTCGCGCATGACGTCCCTGGGTCAAAGCCTGGGGGTGCTAATCTTGTGGTCAGTCATGGATGGAATGTAGACCTGTAAAGATCCCCCTCTCTCTCCCGTCTTCGCATTGGTTCTTAGGTATTGAGGAAAGCGATCCCCGGGGAATATCTCAAGCACACTGGCTATGTGATAGCCTACCGCATCTGGTCCACTGCAGGGAGCTAGGATGGGGTGGTGTGCATTGAAGTCTCCTCCTGTGATCACTCGATATTGTTCTGCAATAGCACATACCTGGCTGATGCCTAGGCTCCTACAGCCTGTAAACATTGTACAGCTTGAAGCCCCCCTCCCCCAGCTATTACCCGTTCTTAGAAATACAAATACGAGTATAATATTTATGTCTTCAACACACACACGTACATACATGCATTCATCAGGCATATATGTGTGTTTGCGTGGGTATGTTGTATATATATATATATATATATATATATATATTATATATATATATATATATATATATAACTGCCGCGATGGTCCAGTGGTTAGAGCACCGAGTTCCTTTCCTCGTCGCGGCAGTCGTAAAAATGCCTGCGTTCTGACTGCTGGCTTAAGCCCGAGAAAGCGACATATCGCCTTGAGAAGTCAACACAGGTGCCGCAGAGGAAGTCACCGCCCGTGCACAAGTGTTAGCACGCCGAACCGCGGTTGATTAGGAAGGGCATCCAATCAGGCAAGAGTGACAATGCCATATAACCTCTCAATACTGAATTGAGAGAAGCCTATGTCCTGCGGTTGAATAAATGGCTGTTAGAAAAAAATATATATGTATATATATATATATATATATATATATATATATATATATATATATATATATATTATATACACACACACACACATATGCACATAAATGTGTGTGTGTGTGTGTGTGTGTGTGTGTGTGTGTCTGTGTGAGTGTGTAAAGGAACTGCTTAATCAGCTCTCGAATTACTTCTCTGACTCCTAATGCTCAGCCGAACCTCTTAATTATTTGCTTGTTTACTGTTGCGCTTGGCCCCGTCGTGGGGCGACGACAGAAGGTCAGCGAGTCTAGCTGAGGGCGCCGTGTAGTGCGAAGGTTTTTATCTTTACTGGAGATGCCTGGATTTTCCTTAAATAATAAGTGAAAGTGACATAGAGGGATTGATAGTTCAGATCGGCGGATTTTGGCCGTAATCGGCGCCAGCACTGCCCCGTACGTCCCCAGATGGCACTCCGCAAGCAAGGAGGGAGTCACCGCAATGCTGAGCCAAGAACTATGAACTGTCAATTGGGAATTATCGGTTATTTAAACTTTTAAAAAATGTATTTTACTGAATAAACAAGTGTATAATTGACTGCAGTTTACCTTGGACACACCAGTATTTGATTTTGATTATAGATATAGATTATATTAATATAGATATATATATTATGATAGATATATAATATATATAGATATACACACACATATATAGACATATATTATCTATATACTATATATATATATTATATATATATAGATATATATTCATAGATAGATATGTTATTTATTATATTATGGATATATATACATATATATATATGATATATATATATATATAATATATATATAGATATATATAGATAATATAATATATGTGTGTGTGGGTGTGTGTGTGTGTGTGGGGTATACATCTATATATATATATAATATATATATGATATAGATGATATATAATATATATATACAGACGCACACACACACACACACACACACACACACAACACACACACACACACAATCACACACACACATAAACACACACACACACCCACACACACACACACAAACACACACACAAGGGGTGGGGGAGGGACTTATAAACTGTGATTTGTATGTATATATTGAATGCGTCTGGTGTGGCGTTGAGCGATTAACTATCAACCTATCTGTCAAATGAATTATGGATCAGGTCTTGATGGCAGGCTATGGAATTTCCTAGATAACGAATTTTCTGCCAGATCATCATTAACCATCTGTCGAATCCATTATCTATTCCATGTTCATCTGTGTATTACCTCCAATACCTGCCAATCTGCCTGTACTGTGAACAATACTTAGCAGGACCCGGATGGCAGATCACACCTCGGTCCAAGCAGCTGCCTTTCTTCCTTGCGCAGGACGCCGCGTGATGCCTTCCTTTCTCTTTTTGCACAGGAATTAAACATCCGCCCTTCCAAGAAATCGCACCCCGATAAGAAGACACATGCCTAAAACGAGAAAGGACACGGCAGAAGGCCAAACACACAGTGTCCAGCTCCAACACCTCGTCCTCCACCGGGGACACGGGGGTCTCATATCTATCTTCAGAAAATAAACAGCAAGTTAAGACCCCTTTTATTACCGCCGCCGCCCAAGACCATCTATGTTACGCTTACACTAGTGGCTGCGATTGGTCATTACGCTTACAGCTGTCTTTATATATATTTCTCTACATATCTTATATATATATCTAGTCTGTTCACCTGTGACCTAATTTGTATAATCGATATATTCATGTGTCTGATTTGGCGGGATCGTTCCGACGTGTGATTTGCGCGGGCGAGCATTCACCACCGGGTTGGGCAGAGCGGATATTTCTCTAATAGTGCTCCGATGTCCATTGGCTGGTCGAGGAATCCATTAATTCAGTTCAAGAAGCCATCATCCGGAATTACTGACAGGTAAGTGATTATATGTGTAAGGTTGTAATGGCATCACTTATTTCATGTTTGAAATTTAAGCTTATTTCAAACTTCAGAGTTATCACAGTACCGCTGCCTAATTTTGCAACATTTGTTAGGGAGGCTTCAAAGCCTTGGAGCGTCTCTGTACGGAAGACCAGCGCCTGCTTCTGAAGGGAAGGCGCCGAACGCCCTCGTGCGAGTTCTGGGGCACCTCGACTCCACTTTCCGTCCCGGCGCATAGCTGGGCACATCTGGAATGACACTGGTATTCCGGATGCATTAACGGGTCACACAGCACCAATCAGCGTATATATAGTAAGCCCCACCCCCCTCTCCGCTCTATGTCTATTATATATCTTAATGCCAGATAAATACTTGTGCGTACCACATACAATAAATAGGAATATAAAAACTTGCCAATATATATTATATATATAATATATTATATATATAGAGATAATATATATATATATAATATATATATATATATATATATATGCATATACATATGAGATAGTATAGGTGGTATATTATATATATATATATATAATATATATAATATATAGATTATATTATCTATATACAATATATATACTATTATTATACTATATATACTATAATATATCTATATAGAACATAATATATATATATATATATATATATATATATATATATATTATATACTTATATAGACTAATGGAGCGTATATAAATATACATCTATATGTATATATATGTGTGGGCTTCAGAACAATAAAACTACACTTAAGATTGTTCAAGCCTATAACTTTCAACCTGCAGCCACAGTTGATTGAAAGAAATAGAGCGCTTCTATGAAGGGCGTCATTTAACAACGAGAGAGTAAAAAACAATTTCACAATAATTATGAGAGACTCAAAACGACAGGAGAAATGTAGTGGGAATCACGGAATAGGAACCAGGAATGAGAGGGGACAAATGCTAGTCGATTTTGCGTAGGCTTCGAATCACTCAATATCATGAATACCCAAAATTTTTTTTTTTTTTTTCTTCGAAAAAAAGACTAGAGCGGAAGTGGAAGGAAGTCGCCATCAGACATCAAAAAACGAAATTGACTTCATCAATTTCAAACTCGGTGCAATAAGTAAAAAAGTGGGGGTGTTAATAAATTAAGTAAATGTTGGTAACGACCATAGGTTGGTCAGAAGCCAAATTAAATCCCAACATCAGAGGGAAAGGAATTAAACCTACGAAAACCCGCAGCCAAATTTAGTAACTTGAAGACGAGAGCGGCAGAATTTATGCATTAACATCCCCAACACAGAATTCACTCCTCAGCGAAGAAAGATCTCAAACACTGACCAAATCACAAGTAGTTCAATGACAAAATAAAGGAAGCTGCACTTTATTGTAGGCGTAAGAAAACTGTAAAACAAAAGCTCAGTAATCTCGCAGTAGAAATAAAGAACTTATACAAAAATGTAGGGTCGTGAAAGTACAGTCAGGGGACAAAATAGAATTAGCTGAACTAACAAAAACTTAAATTAAAAGAAATTCTATACTCAAATGAAAATGAAACGTCGATCTCAGGTACAAGCATGAAAACAGCTAAAAAGGAGACTTGAAAATAGAGAGAAATCAGGGAAAATGTAGGCAATAAAGAAAAAGTAGGAGGACATATAATATGAATGAAATCTAAGAGTTAGGTGGAGAACTATGAACAGCCACGATAGAAGCGAACTCGGGTCA